CCTCCTCCTCCTCCTCCTCCTCCTCCTCCTCCTCCTCCTCCTCCTCCTCCTCCTTTTCCTTCCCATCTTCTTGCTCCTCGCACTCATTTTGTTGTCGCGTCTGATGCCGCGACAGGGATGAGTGAAGATGACTTCAAGTCGCTTCAACTTTGTTTCCTCCCTTCGTCCAATGACCACTTGCATGAAGAAAGGAGGCAGAGTAGCAAGGAAATGAAGGAGCAAGGGGAGGACGACGTGGACGACGATGAAAAGGAAGGGAAGGACGAGGACGAGGACGAGGACGAGGACGAGGACGAGGACGAGGACGAGGGAGCGCAGGGATGGAAGATTCGCAGCTACAAGGGGGGAATCCAGGAAGAAGGCTCATCTTGTGAAAGCTCCGACATGGAGGGTGCGGAGGACATTGATTGATTCGGTTGATTTCAAGATCATGATGCTGCAAGCGCTCTTTACATGTTCAACAAGTTTACCATCTCAACTGCAAGTCGAACATACAGGAAGGGAAAACATCGACTTGTTAGTTCTTTCAGCTCTGATTTACATCTCGATAGAATATCTTTCCACCTCGTTACATCTCTTCTCCTCTTAACCATGTTCTCTCCTTCAACATATTTACAGTGAAATTTCTTCTTCTGCATGCCTTTAACTACTTTCTGCTTTCTTACCCTCCTCCTCAATCGTTCTACCCGCCCCTCCTTCCAACCCCCTCAATCTGCCGGCTACCCCCACCCTCCACCCTCCTCTTTATGCCTTTGACCATTCTTCCCCGTCTTCTCCTCTCCTCTCCTCTCCTCTCCTCTCCTCTCCTCTCCTCTCCTCTCCTCTGCCCCCTCCTCCTCCCTCCTCCCCTATCACGCCAACCTCTCTCCAGCAAAAATCTCATCCTGTTCCATTTCATGGAAGCCAGGGTCCGGCTCTACCTCCAAGAACTGCCCTATCGTCTCCGGGCAAAGCATCCAGTCGTCCTCCCCCTCCTCCTGCGGAAGATCCAGCTCCAGCTCCATTGATCTCATCTGCATCCTATTCCTCACTGAGGAGGAGGTGGTGGTGGTGGTGGAGGGCAAAGCGTGCGGGCGATCAACCTGGTTGCTGCTGCCAGGGGCTACGGTGCCGTTCGGCATGCTCGTATTGACAGCTCCAGGTTGCTCCTGCACCTGCTCTCTCCTGGTCATCGCCGGCCCTCCTCCTACCTCTTTCGCTGCCAACCCTTCTGTCCCCGTCACCGGGAACTGCCTCTTCTTCCTCGGCTTCGAGTCCTTGGCTCCCGCTGGCCTCCCCTGCCGCTTCACAGGCAGGCACACACAGTGCCCTCCTTGCCCAGTGTTACACTTCTCACACCTCCTGCTCCTCCTGTAGTCCAGCAGCTCCTCTGCCGTCCACAGATCGTAGGTCGCATACGACCACGTCCTCCTGTTCCAGATGTCCCTTATCGCCTTGGGGCTCACCCCGTACTCCTGTGCTACCAGCGTGCTCCGCGTCTCCCCAAATGTCCTCTTAGAGTATATTTCGCATGCCATTTCTTCCGTCAGGATGATGCGAGCACTTGGAGTATCATTCTCGTCTGTGCTGTGCCCCGACGGCGTTCTTCTTTCCCCTCCTCCATGCCCTCTCAGATCAGCTCCGGCAAAACCAGCGTCCAGGAACGACAAGTCGCCGTTGTCTGTGGGCAAGGGAACAGGGGGAGCTGGTGCTCGTGTGCTCCTGTCGTTGATCTTGGATCTCTCTGCAGTACTTTCTTGGATCCCAAACAACATGTTGTCTTCACTTCCTTGCACTGTAAGGTTGTGAAACGATCCCTGAGTATCGACCGGCCTGGCCATCTTGGCACAGTTCTTCATGTTCCCAAGTTCGGAGGACAAAGATGCCGAAGACGAAGCACGATGAAAAATGAAGTTTTGATCTTTTACCGAACTGGTTTGACCATGAAAGATTCCTTCCAACAGGCTCCTGTCTTGAATAAAGTCGATCTTTTCTTGAATAAAATAGATTTTCCCACCCGTCAAGGTTACCAGTTCCACTGCCTTCCTGGCAGAAATCCTTCCAAATATAAACTCGATCCTTTTCGAATCTTTGCTATCGTTCGAATCACTCCCTCAGACCGTATCGTATGAACGATAGATGGCTTGTTTCCAAAACGTTCGAATCCCTACCACTCAGTACCGTCCTGGTATCTCTGACTTCCGGGCTCCCCCCTCCAAGATGCAGTCCCAGACTCGTTGCCCCTCTGCAGCCTGTCTCCTTCAACTTATCCAGAACTTCACTTGTCTCGCTGTCTCTGCGCGACTTCGCTCTTACTCATGTTCACCGCCTTTGTATGCATGCACACGCTCTTGGAATTGTGGTCGGGGAAGGAAAGATGGGAGGGAGGGGTAGTGGAAGGCTCAAAACGGGTAGGGTGGTTATGAAAAGGTAGGGTAGATAGCTTCAATTTGGCGATTTTTAGGGTGGGGTGGTAATTGCTATAGATGTACCGGTTGTTCCGTCAGAGTTAGGCTGCGGTACTTCTACGTAATAACCGGTACTACAAGAGTCCGAAGCTCAAAATCGGGGGTGGGGGTAAAGTCTGTAGGGTTGGGTAGGTTGGACCCTTGGAACTCGAAAAAGAGTTGTTTCGTATCTGCGCTGACCGGCATTCTGTCAGATATGATCACAATCTTGAAACATATTTCAAATCTTTTCCTTAAAATTGAAACCAAAATCGTCATTACCTAAAACTGACCGGTGTTTTTATCCGCATGACAATGGTTTTACAACAGATATTTACCCCTTTTAATCATAAAACGGTTTTTGTTTGCTTCAAAACGTTGAGATTTTGAAGTACTCTTGAGCAGGCGTATGTAGTACCCCTACCCCAACTCATCACCCAATAAATTTATGTATGTCATCGATGGAGTCGGACTCTTTATTTCAAATTTAATCTACATAATAATATTTGAAATTTTCTTTTAACTGATTAAGTCATTCCACCCACCCAATGTTACGACTGAGGTACAATGGAAAAAATCCTTTTCGCCAGCAGCCCCTTGATAAAGTCTGAAATCACAACGTTTCAGCTCATATCTACCGACCTCTGGTTACCGAAACCCTCAAACTTGCCGCTTATCCTCAACGGAATCGCCTCATTGACCTCTTCGACTTGAGACGGTCTTTACCCTCGGAAGCTTCTACTATCACTGATTTAAAACCGTAGTACCCTACTTAACTTTGAGTACACGCCGCCATTGACCCGAACACCGCCGTGTGGCACGGCCGCCGGGGCGTCACAGTGACGGCGGCCGGGCGCCGCCGTTGACTCGGCGGCGAGCACGGCCCGGCCCGGGCCGCCGGGCCGGCCGGGCCCGGCCGGCCGGGCCGCGCCCAAGCCTGCCGGCTCAGCGGCTGCCCGGCCCCCGACTCAGCCTGTTCACTCCGATGATGATCGGACTCGGCCCGGTCGGCCCGGGGCCGCACGGCGCGGGATCCGATGGCCGCGTGATGGAATCCGGCAGACCGACGGCCGGGCCCCGGCTGCGGCGCGCGGCCTAGGCTCAGGCTCCGGGTGCGGGCGGCACTGCACACTAATGCCCGAGGCTCACTGCGGCGCCTGGCCCGGCCGGGCGGCCGCCCGGGCCGGCACCCGGTGTGCCGGCCCGGCGGCGCCGGGTGATACTACCGTGCCGGTGACGGCGGCGTACGGGTGACCGGCGTCCTAACTCAGTGGCACGGGCGGCGTGACTCACTCACGGTCGGCAGTTACTATCACTCACAGCCTGGCAGGCGGACGGTTCCATGCCCCCACACGGTGCCGGGGCCCGGGCCCCGGCGGACGGTTTCCGAGCCTGAATTCGGAATGATTGAAGGGCCCGGGGGCCTTCAAGTGACTCACTGAAGTTAAGCCTAGTACTGTACTCAGTCCGAGTCACGCCGCGGGCCGCCGCCTCCGAGGCTCAGTGGCGCCCGGCCGGGCGCACTGCTGCTGCGCCAAATCCGAAGTTCCGAGGCAACGGCTGAGTGAACCAAGTCCGACTCTCAGTCTGCGGCACCTCAGGTGGCGCGGCCAGCCCGGCAGTCACTGAGTGAGTGTGACCGTCCGATCATGCTTCACGGCTTGCGAATCACCGTCGGGCCCGCCGGGGTGCGCGTGACTCAGTGACTCGTGAACGGCGTAAACCGTTGAACCGTTACTCCCGGATCGGACTCCCCGGATCCTTCAAGGCTTATCACAGAGTCAGGGACCGTCTCGCCGGATCACTGATGCCGACCGTCAGTGCCAGCGCGCACTGAGCCTTTCGGTGGCCGCACTGGAAGCCTCCGAGCCCGCCGTCGGACCGTGACTCAGTAACCCGGCGTCACGGTACGGTAGTCACCTTGGCCCGGGCCGGGGGGCGCAGTGGCACCGGGCCGGGCTGCCGGCCGGCGGGCCGCCGAGACGTACGGTCATGAAACCAAATTGACAAAAACAAAAAATTTCAATCAGTGGGGGTGATACGACTGACGAGAGCTGGTGGGGTGCCAAAGGTGAGTGGACGCTGGGTGGGTGGGGGCGAGGTATTGCCTCAGAGGCTAGGACATAGTGATGTTGGTCCTAGGAAGGTCAGATGTCACCTGTGATGGTCCACGGACAGGGGGTAGGGGTAGTGTAAACTCTATTCATGTGGGGATGCGGGATCCTTTTTTTTTTGGGCAGGTACTCTAGTGTCATTCACCGGGGTGGGGTGGTGTAAGGGTTGAAAACCAGGGGTGTTGATGAGGGTGATACACAGTCTATTTGTGGGGTAGGGTAGGCAAAAAGTGGCAGGTGGGTCACGAGTGTATGACCTCTAGCCCTATTGAAAGGGGGTAAAGGGGTGATGGCTGGGTATTTGAGATGGTGGTAGGAAGTAGGGGTGCTGGTTCAGAGGAGGGTGGGGGTGGTTAGCACCGGGTGTGCGACCAGAGTCAAGTTGTTGTTCCAGCAGGTACAAGATAACGAAAACCGGGGGGTTAATGAGGTTTCCGGGGAGGGGTAGGTACTGAGAATCTTGGCGTTGGTGGGTGGGGTAGGAAAAACATAAGCAATTTTTGACAATGATTGTGTAACAGGGGTAGGGTGTTCTATCTTTTCCAGGGAGGGGTAGGGGTGCTTATGGGTAAGAAGTGTACGATCATGGGACAGCAATGCGGTAGGGTGGGGTGGAATAAAAAACGAACTATGGGAGGTAGGGTGGGGTATTTTGATGTGGGTAGGGTGGGTAATGAACCGGTGCTGAGCACGGGACAAAAAAACTATGCTGGTGGGGTCCTTTTTTCTGTGGGGTGGCCCCGTGACAGTTAAACTTTTGTAGATAAAAGGTGGGGTTATACAGTATGGAAATGGGGGTGCGTGAAAAAGCTTTTAGAGTCAGAGGGGTTGTCTTGTTTCGGTTAGAGGGTAGGGGTGGCAAAGCGGAGATGCGATGAGGGGTGAGGGTGGTCAATGGAGGCAATTATTGATGCACAGCGAAGAGATGAGGGAGGGGCGAGGGAGAGAGGATAGACGACAGCTAACATGACAGGAGTCGGCAAGATGAGGGGAACAACGATTGGAATGCAGGAGTAAGGGTTAAGTCCACGGGCTCGAGGATGTATCTCGGTAGTTCGGCAGTGTGCTGGACGGGATGGCAGGGTTTTTTGATGCTGGTAGGTTAGGACAGAAGAAGAATGATGATGAGTAGCGTATAGAGCAACTTGTGGGTGACTCTGTAGGCTGTAATCAGGCAGAAAGCTGTTGGGTGGTCGTGGTTTGGAGGAGCTGTGGAAGAGTCAGTGAGTAATGAGGCACAACGCACATCGCGGAAGTCCCGGCGAGAACAAGTGTTATGCACGTAAATGTAAGCAGACTTTCGTACCAGAGGAGGAGATGTGGAGAACCTCAGGACGACAACATTCTAGATAATATGCAGCTTGTTTTGATGTTCGCCATGCTGAATTGAAGCGATGGAGATGTACAAGTAGCGTGAGAGTATAGCATGAAAAGTAAGGTCTAACATGTGTGACACATAGCGCGTCCATGTTGTTTTTGTTTGTAGGAAATGGGATAGTGAATATGTGTAATGGAAACAAATCACCTTGGTGAATCACTGCATCTGCTGACTAGCTTTGCGGCAGGCCTATGGATTGTAAATCTCTCCAATCTCGCCTATCGTCAACGAACAGCTGTTAATCAGGATCGCGTTGACACATCGCTGGTTGTTTGCAGTCAGTTGCCTGGCATGCTTCATTGGTTGAGACAGGATTAGTATGCTATGCTCATTTCAGTTACAAGATAAGTCACCTGTCAACAACTTGGAAGAAGATTCGGTGATTGTATTGGGCCCGGATGGTCACGTGGATGAGTACGACTCCGAAGGGGTGCATGAACAACATATCCCCTACTATCATGATCGACTGACTCCTCTGGAAGAATTTTTGGCAAGAGAAGAGCTTTTGAACGCTTGCAACCTGAAAGATACCGAGTCAAACAGCTGCTATTTGATCCGGCCCGAGGTTGGTGTGGAGCCTCATTATTTGGCAATGATAGACAAAAGGAGACAACCTCCTACCATGGAGCCTCATGCTTTCACTCCTATTGTCCAGTCTCAGGAGAAGAGGCAGAAGAAAGACAAGATGCAAACGGAAGGCGAGGAGAGCAAGAGAATGAGCAATGGTGGGCGCGTTGAAATGAACGGACAGGATCCTTCCACCCCCCGAGTTCTTGGCGCTGGTGACTTGATCTACTACGACGCACATGTTCGCATGCCGTCGTCAGCTCACTCTTCATCTCTGGATCAAAAGTCAATGAAAGACGATTCCTTTGTGAGGCGCGCATCTGGAGAAAGCAATGGAGGCGAGAAGAGGACACAATCTGCCTCCAACGGGTGCAGGAGCTTCACCATAGACTACCATGCAGATACTGTCATGAAGATAGATGAGAAGAGGGGCAAATCAGGAGGAGGAGGAGGAGGAGGAGGAGGAAGTGAAGATTCTTCTGAGGTGATGAATATGAGGTCTTCTGGTGAAACTCCTTGACAAGGTTTTCGTAGGGTGTCGAAGACGAAAGCAGCAGTTCCAGCACTGTTGTGGTTGACAATGGAGCGATAGATCATGGTAAGTTGTTGCGATGTTCTTATAACTGAGAATTTTTGCGATTTATCTTCTTGACGCTTTGTTTGTTAGGTGCACCAACATCGTCATTCACTTCCTTCGACCCAAGCGCGTCTTCAATGCGCAACCTGGAAACAGTTTCTCCGGAAAAAGGAGGAGTGCAAGCTGACTCAGAACTGTTAGAAAAGGTTGTCTCACAATTGCAATCGGATGATGCAGCTGCAGCAAAGGCGGCGGCTGCCGATGTTGAATATCTAGTTTCATCGTCAGATCCTAAGGGCGTCCTGTCAGCAGGAAGTTGGGTTTGGACTTCGGAGGGTGCAAAACTTAATCGCAAGGCTCTCGGTTCTTTCGCCAACTTGTGGGAAAGTCTGTTGGGCCTCATTCAAGATGGTGATTCTGAAACCAAAGCATGTGTTTGCGGTGCAATGAGCAAGTTAGGCTTCCGTAACACCACGAATGTTTTGGCGATGATCAAGTTTCCTGGTATGTTGACTGCACTCACACAATTGCTGGATGTTACAGCCCATCCGCACAATGTACCTATCCAAGCTTGGCGAGTGTTGCAGAACTGTGTCTCTGGGATAGATGAGGTGAAGGTTATCCTCTGCTCGAATAATGATGTGGTGTGGAGGATGAAGGAGGCTTGCGCGAGGGACGGGATACCTGACGAGATTCGGATGAGAGCCGTCAGTGTTATCATGCATGCCTCATCCTCGGAGTCAGCTAAGATGCACCTTGTGAAGACGCGCATCCCAGAAGAGGCTTTACAGGCCGTCTTGTCTTCTCAATGCAACATGAAGAAGGGGGATGCTACGCGCATCCGGGCAACCTTGGCCTCTGCAAACCTGTGCGGGAGAGAGGAGAGATCCATCCTGTCGACTGCTCCCGAGATGCTGCGGGAGATCGTGAACGTCATCTCACATGCGATGCAGGGGACCGAGTACTTCACCATCAAGTGGTCGCTGGTTGGTGTGATGCTGCCCTTGTTTAACCTCAGTTGCTCGGACAGCAACAAGAAGGTCTTGATCGAATGTGGTACAATTGAATTGCTGCTCAAGGGGGTGAACCAAGGAATGCAAGCGTACTCCGCATCGGTATCGCACGACGATTCAGAGTGGAGCAGTGAAACCCTGGAACTCACTCTGCGAACTCTTGCAAACTTCACCTTCGATGCAGACGCTCGCAACCAGATGATAGAACAGAATGCGCTGTCTGTCTTGCAGGATGTCCTAATGCACCTGCGATCACAGAATGCGAAAGGGAAGATCCTCGTTATCCTTCAGGATCTCGTTTTCATGCTCTCGGAAAAGAATGATAAGATGATAGAACAGCCTTCTGCGCAGCCCCTCGCTGTTCAGCCAGGCAAGAAGAATGACCAGCACATCATGATCTCGTACTCCTGGTCTGTTGGGAAGGCCTTTGTTATTGAAGTTGCAAGAGCGTTACGACAAAAGGGTCATGATGTCTGGCGAGACGAAGATGGGTCGAAGTTGGTACAGAAGATGATGGGATCTTCGATGGAGATCATGGCAAAAGCCATTGAGCTGGCAGAGTTTGTCATCATCTTCGTCTCGCGCTCGTACAGAGACTCGTACAACTGCAAGCTCGAGGGGAAGTATGCCCAGGTCAGGGAAAGAGCTGGCCTTACACGAATATTGTTTGTGATGATGGAAGAAGACTACACGCCGCAGTCGCCTGACGGAGTTGACGGGTGGCTGGGAATGCTGATAGGGGATTCCTTCTGGTATCAGGGATGGGATTTCTCCAAGCTCGATGAAACTGTGGGCGAGATCTGCAAGGCCATCGAGAAGACTCGCCACTCTCCAGTTAACATGTCAAGGAATGGTGAGAACGTGCCGGGATGGATTCAACCAGCGTCTTCAAGTGACATCGGGTCCAACGGCGCTGACTCTGCCTCGGTGGTGAGGGGCTGGAATGCAGAGGATCCTGGGAGAGAGTCGAGGAGGCGATCAGGTAGCTCTCCTGCCATGTCGTTCCGATCTGCGAGGACGCTGTCGAACGGAAACCCATCGCTTCCTCTATCGCCGACAAACTTGGGGGTGTCGTATGCTCAGGCCTGGAAGTCGACACACAGCCTACTGGGGACATGCAACTCATCGCCCTGCAGCTCGATCGCTGACATCATCCCTGAGCGAGGGCTGTTGAAGGACAAGAGCATAATGATCCCCAATGACAACGGGGACGACAGCGTGATCAGGAAGTGCTCCTCCGACTCGCAGATTGCGGTTGCCGACTCAGAGGTCTCGACTCTCCTCCACGCCTCCCGCGAGAGCATTGGATCCGGGGGTAACGGCGAGCCGCACGAGATCATGGCGGACGTCCACTCGCTGGGAAACATTGGTAGCCTCAGGACAGGCGGGGAGAGCTGCCGAGAGTTCGCAGCAGACATACAGAACTCCCGCATATCACCCGAGCCGGCGACAACTGGAGGGACCTTTCAGCTGCCCCACCGGAAGCCAACGATACAGCAGAGGAGGACGAGCGTGAACAGGCTGCTCTCCATCTCTCCCGCCCATCCGATTAACAGAACTGTGAGCTTGTCACTCGCTTGACGTGATTGTTCTCATTTGTGCGACCAGGAAATGATCCATCCCTACGGAAGCGTCAACGAGTTTCTGAATGGCTATGGCGTTGTGGAGCTCGCCGACGCGTTTACCTACCACAGGTAGAAGAAGACCTGGGGGGGCTGGAGGGACGCGGGATCAAGAGAGGAGGAAGAAGAGGAGGAGGAGTGAGAGCTTGAGTGACTTGCGGCTTGTCAGGATCGACGACATGGAGATCGTTCTGCGCCTGTCGGAGAAGCAGGTCGAGATGATCACCGACCGGGTGGGACTGCAGGTACGAAGCTGCCCGGCTGAGCCTGCCCGGCTTATCCCCTCCTGCTCCAGGTCCGGCTGAACGAGGCGATTAAGCGAGAACGAGAGATTCAGTCCATCGCAACTTGGAGAATAGGGTGAACCCTCCATTCCCCTCTCCTCTACCCCATGATTGTCACCTCCCCCTCCTTCCCTTCCTACTTTTACTCCTGTTCTTATTCTTTGTCCTCCTCCTCCTCCTCCTCCTTCCATCTCCTACCCGTCCTGCTGCACACTTCCTTTACCCGTTGCCTCTTCTTCTGTCGAGGCATTACTGACCCTTGTTTCCGCAGGGCCCAGACAAAGTATCAGAACATGGAGGGCTTTCAAAACCTGTAGGCTCTTGTGTTTGTATTTCATAATTTATCATCTTCTTTGATGTTGCTCTTTCCACCACTGTCATCACAACTTCGTCACTGTCATTGCCAGCGTCGTCGGCACTAGGATCACGATGTTCCTGCATCCCCATCAATAACCTTCCGTTCACTTCTATGGTCGTCCGTTCACTTCTATGGTCGTTTGTCAGATTTTTGCTGCTCACTCACAACATAGACCGGGTCTTTGTCTTGCCTAATGCATGCTAATTCTTAGAGCCCGTCCCTCTCCTCCTCCCTCTCCTCCTCCTCCTCCTCCCCTACATCGCAATCATTTGCGACATGATCCAACGGAAACCGTTGACTGCTCCATACAGGGGTGGGTAATGCCAAGTTCGGGGTATCCAACGAGGGGTACTCGTAATTGGGGACAAGGAGGGGTCAAATAAAGATTGAAAAACACCGGTACTTTTGGATCCTGTAGGTGGGGGTACTTCAGCAAAGTCGCCACCAACAAGGTGGGGGTAGTGAACATGCCGGACAAGGTCGGCTGATGACCGCCAATGAGGAGAAGCGGGAGGAGGAGAGGAGGACAGAGGACAGGAGAGGAAAGGAGAGAAGAGGAGGCGAGACGATAGGAGAGAAGGATGGGAGAGGAATGGAGAGGGCAGGGGAGGGGAGGGCAGCGGAGAGGAGTGGAGAGAGGAGAGGAAGTTGATGCGATCGAAAGAGAAGTTGAAGTAGGACTGAGCTCCGCAGAGGGCGTGCATGGAATGTGATGATAGCCGGTATCTCATAAACAATATTTCATCACAGTGTAGCTCTCTTAACTTCCCCTCGATGTTTTCATGCTAACGTGTGGCGAAAATGTTCGCTCCGGCTGTTTAACCCTCGTGGCTACAAACAGATGTCTTTGAACGGCGCGAAGCCGAGCGCGTTCCTTCAGAGGGTGAGAAGCTTTCTGTGAATCTTCCTCATGATTGTGATCCTTCACTCGTTGACTCTGCTTGCAGTTTCAGAACAAGATCTCTGTTGTAGCCAAGGACGGGTCTCACGCCAAGGTGATTTGAACACATTCATGTTGTTCTCTCCTCTGTCTCCTTCTCCTTCTTCTCTGTCTCTTCTCCTCTTCATCTCTGCTCCTCACGATTGAGATCGCCTCCACCTCCACTGTCTCCTTGTCGCATGGCTCCATCTTCCTCTTGTTATGCTGTCTCCAGCATCCTTATGTGCTGTACCTCAGATCGGTGAGCCGACAACCAAGACTCGTCCTGCTCCAGACATCCGAGATATCCTAGGTGAGTGAAGGAGAAAATCGACAGCTGCCGTCCTGGTTGGAACGATCGTCTTTCTACTTCCTCTTCCTCATTCTCCTAATCATGCTCCTCCTCCTCTGTTTCATCATCATCATCACCACCACCACCACCACTACCGCCGCCGCCGCCGTCATCATCGTCGTTATCGTTATCATCATCGTTATCGTTATCATCATCGTTATCGTTATGATCATCGTTATCATTATCATCATCACCATCATCATCACCATCATCACCATCATCATCTACATCTACATCCCCAACTTCCTCCTTCTTCAACTCATCGTTGTGCTTCAGATGACCAACGGCCATGGAGGAGGAAAGATTCGAACATGGTGTCCTCCAAGACGATGCCGAGGAAAGAGAACTCACACTCCGTGAGCTATCAGACTACCGACGACATCTCTCCTGAGTACGGGTGAGGAGGGGAGAAGAGACAGAACTGGGGGGGGGAGAGCGGGGGGGGATGGAAGGGAAGTTCACAAATACATTTGGATTTGAGGATGGAGGAGAGTGAAAGAGGAGGAGGAGGTGGTGGTGGAAGAGGAAGAGGAAGAGGAGGAAGGAGGAGGACCAGAAGGGTTCTGATCTTCTCTCCTTTCACTTGATTTCCGCCTCCCTCCCTCCTTCGGCTCGCTTCCCCCCAAGCAGGATGAAAGGTTTGAGATTCAAGACTTCTAAGGATGGCTCGAGCGGGCGATCGGTGAAGGAGCTGGGGGATGGATACGCCAAACAGGATGTGAATTTCTTGAACCCGGATGATCAGGTGAAGATCTGAAGAGAGGAGGAGGATGGTTTATGTGACGCCGCGTCTTCCTCTTCCTTTTCGTCTTCCTCTTCACCTCCTCCTCTCTTCCTGTCTTCCTCCTTTGTCTCCCGATCCTCCCCTCGCAGTTGGCCTACAGCAGAAAGGCGCGGCCGGTGGAGTACAAACCGTACAGCGAGAAAGAGTACAAGGCGCAATATGCTCTGTAAGGAGAGGAGGAGGAGGGGGGGGGGGAGGAAGAGGAGGAGGAGGAGAGATTGAATGACCTGGGCGGCAGGGGGGAGTATTATGAGCTAGGGAAGTTGGGGCCAGATCTGGACGTGAACGAGCTGAATGAGAAGAGACAACGACAGGTGAAGGAGGAAAGAGCTGAGGGAGGGAGGGATGGGGAAGGAGGAGGAAGAAGAGGAGGGGGGGGAGGGGGGATAGAGAGAGGCATCAAGATGTTGAACTTTCTTTGCAGGAAAGAATTAAAGCGTACGCTGAGGCTGTTCGCCATGAAAATAAGAATATCATAGGTGAACTATGAAAGTTCTGCGTCCTCTTGCTCCTCCTCTCTCCCTCCCCCTCCATCGGTTC